AGACCATTAATACGCATTTCCTATACCTAACATTAAAGAAATCATAGACTAATTAGGAAAAGCTGAATATTTTACAATACTCGACCTTGCGTTGGGTTTTCACCAAATTAAGATGCAACCTTAAGATGCACATAAGATGGGCTTTTCAACCCCTTACAATCATTACCAATTTAAAAGAATGCCTTTTGTTTTAAAAAACGCCTCATCCACGTTTCAAGGGGCAATGAACGAAATTTTAACTGGGCTACAGGGAGTAATTCTTTTTGTTTATTTGGAAGATATTGTTATTTACTCAAAAGATTTAGATGAATATATGCGTAGAATCGACATACTTATTGATAGGATCAGTTGAGCAAAWTTAAAATTACAGCCAGATAAATGTGAATTTTTGCAAAGAAAAGTAAAATATTTAGGACATATAATTGGCAGTGACGGGGTAAAAGCAGATTCGGAAAAAATCATAGCAGTTAGAAAATTTCCAAGTAATTTTCTTCTTTGTATTAGCCTATTAAGATTTTTCTCTTTAATTATTTTTTCCTAGAACAATAAATACATATTCCTAATGAATAAGTATTTAAAAAATCAAATGTTCATATATATTACGTTACTAACTTGTTCTAAAATAGCTTTTAGACGCTTTCGCAATATATCTGTCACATTATTGATTCGAGGATCAATATATATAAGGCTTTAAATTTATTTCTTGCATCGATATAAATTCCTGCACAGAAGTATCATTGGATGTAAAATTTTCTTCATTTGCATTACTTCCTAAATAACCTTTAATCAAAGCTTTCAATTATTGCTTTATGCTATTATATAAACTCCTCTTTTTTTGGTTCCTTTTTCGTGTAGGAGGTTGTCTTTCAGTAAAAGGGCTAAATGGTATTTCCTATTCACAATTATCTATTAAAGAAATCAATTCCATAGTTTGATCATTATTTCCTTCTTCTGCTATAAGTGGAGATGTGTACTAGCAATTATTTCCTTAGAAAAATTATTACTTTGATTAACACATTGCTGACCGGCAACTTTTTTGAAAATTTACCTCATGTTCCTGGCTATTGTTTTGAAAGCGGATGTGGAAGTAACACAATATAAATAAACTTTAACAAACTTTATTTATTATTCAATTCTTAATATTTCTTTTTCGTATGATAAAAAGTATAACAATCACCTACGTGTAATGGTCCACCATAAGTTTTACAAATATATCTTCCTCCAATTCGTCCTCGCTATCCGATACTATTATATTTCTTCTTCGAGATTTTGGAGGCCTAATATCAGATTCACTAACTTCTGATACAGTATCATTTTCGAAGTTACCAAAATTTGATTCACAATCACTTGAACAATCAGATAAAGCATCTGCGTATATTTCAGTAAAAGGTTCTTCATTAGTGCGTTCGGTCATCGTTGACATTTTTTTTACAATTAAGAATGAATTAAGAATGAGCCGTGAAAACAATAAAGATGCGGAAAAAAGGTTATCACGAGTTAACTCGTGACCGGTCAGCAATGTGTTAATATTTTCTGTATTATTATATAACTTTTAATTTTTTTTTTCTCTTCGGTAATATCTTTATTAGACAGTCTTACTTTCTTTGTACTAAATGGAAATTTATCTATAGTATTATCACACGCGTGTAGATTCTTTCGTTTATTTATTGGTTTATTAAGCAAATGATTGCATTTATTAGTATCGTGAATATCATCGTTGTAAATCCAATTTTTAAAACTATAGATTTTTTTACAGGAGATTTACTTAATTTTGTGCTAATATTTTCTAAATCTTTTATTAACTCAACAGTTTCATTTAATTCATTTGTAATATTTTAATTAATTTAAATGTCTTTTAGTTGTTCGAACAGCATTTTCTTCGAATTAGATAAAGCTTTATTGGAAATATTCAATGATCAACCTCCTGCTGTTACAAAAGAAAATGATAGAATTTTTATTTCTTGAGTATTAGATAAATTACTTTATTTTTTAATTGAATATTCGTTAAAGATACAATGTCATCCGTTTCCAATAAAGATTTTGTTTTTAATATAGTAGGCTTTTATATATTAATATGTTGTCCACACTTACTGTAGAAAATCCTATAGAAAGTATATCATCCATCTCCAGAAAAGATTTTGCTTTCGATATAGCAGACTCTGATACATTTACGAGTTTTTCATTTGTTATAAAAAATCTTATATCTAATGTTATTCTACTATCACTATTCAATATTTTCTTTTCATCACATTCATTTTTTTCTACCTTTTAATGTCCTCCTAATATTATAATATTATCTACTAATACTTCTTTTTTTATTATTACTTTCAACATTATGCATATCATTTTTCACAGCGAAGCGCTAGCACAAACTTGATTTATGTTAGCAAACAAACATCAGAGAAAAACTCTTGTGCGCTATTAATTTTCAGAAGAATATTTTTCTTCTCTTTATCACTGCATGTATCTATGGCTACTATATTATTTTCACTATCTTGATTATTGAATCTAATTTTAACGATGTTCATATTAGCAAAAGTATTCTTAAAAATCCTCTTTCCAGCTCTTCATTTCATTCTTCTATAATTTATAACAGATAACTTTAAAGTAGATTCATCAAATATATTCCTAAAATGTGAATTATTTGGAGTACATTCTTTTAAATAAACAGTTTGTTCGACTTAAAATTACTCTTTTTTCCTATTTTTCCTTCATGTTTTTTTAATTCATTAAATAAGTCTGTTATATTTTCTAAATTTTCTCTATTTATTTTTTCTCTAATATTTTTTGGTAGACCAAATCCAATTCTATCTATAATTGTGTCTATGTCCATATCTTTGTTGACTTCTAATAATAATTTTTCTTTTTTTTGTGCATAATCTAATAATGAGCCTTCTTTGTATTTATAATAATGAGCATATGCTCTATTATTCCATCCTTTATTTTGAAAAATCTTAATGAATTTTTCTTTCCATGTGTCCCATTGAATTTCTATTTCTTTCAATATCATTGAACTATACCAGTTTCGACTTGTGTTATCCAAAAAAAAAAGATTAGAACAACATAGGAATGATTGTAAATCTACCAATGTTTAAAAAAATAATACTACTGCGTTAGCCGAGCATCATTTTAAAACAGGACACGAGTTCAAATTTGAAGAGACAGCCATTTTAGACAGAGAAGACAACTGGTACAAAAGGAATATAAGCGAAATGTACCACATAACGAATAACAATACAGTTAACTATAGGACAGAAACGAACAATCTAAACAACATCTATAATGAAATCTTAAAATTCAATTATTATAACAGGACACACAAATAGAGGACATTATAATACTGAAGATACCTAGATTATTAAACACTAGTCTAGATAGAATCAGTATATGATTACGTGTGATAAGATAAGGTGTTTTAGKATCAAATTGTATTGTAATATGTTAAGTTTTATTGAAATGTGTGACTCTGTAAAAAAGATAATATGTATTGACACGTGAACTKYAAATGATCAAGTTGCTRATGAAGTCCCCAGTAAGGGACGAAACGTACAACTAGTTCAAAATAAATTGTTCATTAGATTTATTAACCGTCTATAATTCCCTTTGAGACTTATATATTAATATATTTTTGGACAAGAATATTGATAATTAAATTTTAATTTTATGTTCTTCTATATCTATCTGCAATCTTGTACATTCATTTTCATATGTAGTTATCCATTGATGGGCATTGGATGTTTTGCTATTAAACTTTTCTACAATCAACTTATCTGCAATATGTTTTAAATTTTGTTCTTCTCCTTTTTCCTGAAAAGTTTCTATTAATTTTTCTAATATTTTGGTTAAACTTGTATTTTTTATATCACTGGTTTTTTTATTATTTGTCTCTTGCAAAATTCTATCTTCAAATTGTAAATTTCCTGCTTCATCTAGTATATATATTTTTTCAAGATCGTCTCTGTTAATATAAACCATACACTGATTCTATCACCTATCCTCTTCAAATCTGCTTTTAATCTGTTATAAGCGCTTACTTTTTGTAGCTCTTTATGTGCACTAGCATATCTAACCTCCTCTGGTAACGTAAACGTTTTTCCATCTTCTGTTATGATTGATATTATGGCTATCACATTTGATTCAGTATCATTCGGAGAAGCTACGACTTGAAAGGTAAACCTTCATGTTTTACCAAAATTGTCGTTTTTTAAGGGTATTAATTTTGTCATCAATAATAACAAACAAATTTGTTTCTCTGTAAAATAAAGGTTAGTTTATAACTATTTACAAGGGCTATTCACAATAATTACAAAGTTACTTGTAAAATAAAGAAACGACAATTGAAGTTTATTATTATCACTTCTTTAAGGGGTTACATGGGTTTGGGACTTTCAAAAAAATTTTTTTTTTTTTATTTTTTTTTTCAATTCTACATCTCATCTAGAATATTGTATTCAATTTTTAAGTCGATAGGAGTAGTAGTTTTAAAGATAGAGCCCTGGGAAGTTCCACTCTGTAATGGCTCTTATACCAGCACTCAGATCTTTAAACGCGTTTTTCTCAAAACGCTTTTTCTAAAGTCGGTTGTCAAGATTTCTCGAAAACTATTTAACTGATTTTGATGAAATTTGCTACACGTCTTCGTGATACTATTGACAAGGACTTGGACGAAGGATTTTCGTTTTTTTCATAAAATCGAATTTTAAGAAACCAAAATGTGGTGAAAATTGTAGCAAAATTTGAATGTTCTTGCTAAAAACGTTGCCAAAAATCCAAATTTTAATTTTTTTCTTTTTCCTTCGTCCAGTTTCTAGTTTTAAGTATTCACTAAAAGACCCTATTTTTTCAACAGAAAAACCGCCACCGTTTATAAGTTCTGCTGTCAACGCGAAAACACTTTTTTTCGGTGCGGTCACCGGAAATGACGTCGCAATGGCTGAGTTTAAAATATTTTTCAACCAAAAATTCAGAAAATGTTCTTTAAATATGTATCTTAAATTCTATAAAAAGTTTGAATAAGAATTCCATTTTTTATATAGAAAAAAAAATTGTTGAAAATATGCTATTTTTTTCCGGTGTAAACCCATGTAGCCCCTTAATTCACTCGCTTAACCACTCTTCACGAAATCAATCTATTTATCACTTTAATTATAACTCTTTAAAATTATCTCTCTTCAGTACTGTATTTCTTCTAACGTATTTTTCCAATCTGTTCACTGTTTTAAAATTTGTTAATCACCCCATCTATTGTTCTATCTAGTGAAAATTAATTGAAGAGGACGTGCGTAGTGTGTGAAGCGCGGCAGATTCAAATGAAAGTCTACTTTTCCTACATATATATGTTTTAACATATTATAATGATAAATGAATTAAGTTAACAAAGATTATCTTAAATAATTTACTCGAATTAGCCGTACAATTAGTGTTCCGTAATATTTCCTTCACTATTTTTTATAGGAGTACAATGTTCATAGGTAAGTTTTTCCGTATTGACATCCATAATCAAATTTATGGTATTAAGATACCATTTATAATATATTTCATATATTTGATTTACTTGAATTACATATACCTTCTATATCTGTAAAAATAAAAATTATTAATTAATTAGAAATGATTTTAATGAATCAAACGATGACCTAAAGTTTATCATTGAATCCGTTTAATTCTCACCTGAGATCTAACTAAAACCAAATGAAAAAATATCATTATCAATGAATATAAAATATTATGCAGATACAATATATATATACATACATATTTATTATATATATACAATGTTTTATTTATTGTGCAGGTTATGGGTAGATAATAGGTAGAATTTTTTCTCTGTAATAACAAAGATTTTATTTTATTTTGAACAAAATAATAATGTAACAACTTAGACTAATTATTTATCCTACCTGTAATAACAAAGAAACAACATTCAATGCTAATATCCACACCGTTGTTTTTTGATTAATTTTCTTACATATATCTCTTAATGTCTGTATCTTTTCACTCCTGCTTTCTTTGTAGYACTGACGTCAMCTGTTTTATTCCTTAACCTATCTTAATACAGAGATCTAACTTATCTACCTATTTACGCGCTAAATTCAATATAGCTAAAACTACTGTCCTTACATATATATA